GGCTGCAATGCTTGGTAAGAAATGTACGCATTATCCTGCCCATGTAATTGTAACCCCTCTGTACAGTATGTTCACAAATAAAAAAAAAAAGAATGTGTGTGTTTGAGATGACGTTCTGTGGGTTTTCTATCATTTCCATTGCCTGCCTAGATGGATGCCTCAGTGCCTTGTGTCCACTTTGTGTTCTCCTACCTGGTCTTTCGCCCTTCCCAGCTTACTCAATTCATCCCACTAGAAAGGCTTATTCATATTTCAGGGTGTAAGAACTTGACCTCACCACTCCCAACATTGCTTGTTTCTCTAAAGGGAAACTAAAGGTTTTGTGTTCTTGTCATGTGACACTAGTCATGGATTGTTCTGTGGCAGAGTCTCCTGGGCAACAAAAAGCTGCTTTTGGACAGGAGACAAGTGCAATGGGCTCTGCACATAATCCCAATGTGACTGAGTCAGGTGGGCTATGGAGTCTCTCTGAGTCAGCCAGTGAGGAGCACACCGAACAAACTCTGGAGCCCGTGATCAAAGACTGTTTGCCCAAGATCTTCACGATCCCTGGAAGGCTGCTTGAAGAGGGTCAATAGGCCATTAAGTCCAAAGAACATTAAAACCTTGTCATTTCTCTCCTTAGTTTACACAAGTTCAATGCAGCAAGCAGAAGGACTACTTACTAAGGCAAACTTTTTGTTGAGAATCATCTGCTCCACCAAAGAGGACTCGTTGTGGAAGAGGTGGGGCTGCATGTGGCTCCACATGTGTGGGAACCACCAGAACTCGTCCACCGACCCCAGCAGACAGTCGTCACCTTCATCTTCCTCCTGTGTCCCTGCAGGGGGAATTAAACCCTCAATTAATTCAGATGACATCTATCTATCTGTCCATCTGTCTATCGATCTATCATCTATCTACCTATTTAATCTGGCTAATTACGTACTCTCATATATGGTATTTGGCAAATACCATTTACACTATCTTAATACTTCTAAAATGTGTACATAAATATAGCAAAGGTAAATCTGTTGGAGGACAACCACAGACTCTGATAAACCTTAAAAAAATGTTCTGGTGGGCATGGTGGCTCACTCCTGTAATCCCAGCTCCTGAGGAAGCAGAGATTGAGAGGATCGTTGTTCATCAACAGCCTGGATGAAAAGTTAACAAGACCTCATCTGAACCAATAGCAGTTTATGATGATGCACATGTGTCATTCTAGCTATGTGCAAAGGTTAAACGGGAGGACTGTGGTTCAGGCCAGCCCAGGCAAGAAGGTCGGACCTTCTCCTCCCTCACCACCCCTGGAAATCACTAAAGCAAAAAGGGGAAAGGGCGTGGCTTAAGTGATAGAGCACCTGCTTAGGCAAGAGCAAGACCTGGTCGTCAAACCAAAGAACTGCAACAAATGAAAGCTCAACATGAAATATAAACATTGTTGCCAGATGGAAGTATATAACCATTCCCAAGAACTCTGAACCTTTAGTATCTTTGAACAATTTGTAGTTTGGAAAGAAGGTAATTGTGGGAAATGACTATGGAAACAGTGTGAGCCTCAGCAGGAAGTCATTTTGACATGGGTTCTATGTATAGTTACAACAAAATAATTTCATCATTTGTGTTCCTCGGACACCTTATCATTAAGTCAGTCATTTTGCAGTAGTTTTCACATAGCAAATAGACAATAGTCTCTTGGGCTTTCCCAGTATTTGAATCAGTCCTGATTTCTTCCTCCTCCCCACATAAAATCTGGACAAAGTGTACTGAAAGTTTCTGGATTTTAAAGTCTCCCTCTTCTTGCTCCTGAGTTCTGTTCCTTGCTACATAGACTTCCGGTCTTCCCTTACATCTGTCCTGACCTCTCTCCTGCATTCATTTGCTACATGGCTCTTTTTTTCCTCCTGAAGTTTATTTTTTGGGATAGTGCAGCAGACCTCAGGGCTCTTCAGGGTAATAGGTCAGGCAGACATTATCCTTTCATCAATATCACGGCGAAATCTGCACTGAAAAATGTGGATATATCAGAATCACAAAGGAGTTCAAGCTCATCGTAATTTATAGTAGGTATAATTTTATGTCTTTTCTTTTTTCATTTATTGTTTCATTTTAATCCTACTTTGGGGAATGTTTTAAATCGTAATTAATGAAATTGAGCGCAAGTGTCTGTTGCTTGGTATTTTAAAAATTATGATGAAAATATAATCACAGTTGAAATGTAGTCATTCACAATTGTATTGTCCTGGCCTTCTTTGTCAGAATGGGAGATAAGAAGAAGAATAAGGAGTTAAATTACTTAACATGCTGCAGAACCAGGCTAAAACTTCCTAAATTTTATTGTATTTCTACTTAAATGATTTACCTCTGGGGCATTTGTTCTGTAGTATTTTCTTCATCATTAACCAAGCTGTACCTTGAACGAGCATTATGTCCAGTACTTAGCACCTGATACCAAGTGAGGGCCACTACAGAGCTCACTTAAGGGGCTAAAAAACCTGATCTGTAGGACAATAAGTAAAACGTACCCTAAGTCACTTAATGTGACATTTAATTAAGATTAATACACCCCACATTCAAGTGATAGCATCACTTGACAATAGCATCACTTGCTGACAAATTGTCAAGTCTAGAACTAAAGGTCAGAATGTTGGCTTTTGCAAAACAATGGGGTCAGATTTTATGTCATGGCCTTGTTCTTGATAACTAGTTATATTAAAACAAAGGCGATTTTACTGTCACTACATCATTTATTCATGAATTCATTTTAAAATAGACACTTTTAATTTCTGCTTTCATACAGTGGAAACTTCCAACTGTTCATTTTTTGTGTGTCGGAAGTGACAAAGGAATTATACTGTTGAAGTACTTTCAACATCCATTCATGATAAACTCTGAGGAGTGTAGGAAAGGGAGCTCTTATACTAATAAGGAGTCACTGAAAAATATGTTATTGCAAGATTCCTTTTGAGAACAAGAACACATACATTGAAGTTCCCCACTGAAGTCAAGAATGAGACATGAGTGTCATCAGCACCAGTTTCACGTAGAATTGGCCTGAAGCGTAGTGTGGTGGCAAGTGCCTGTAATCCCTGCTTTGGGAGTCTAAGGCAGGAGGATTGGGAGTTCAGGACGACAGCGGAATACACAGTGAGTTTGAGGCCAGCCTGGATTACAGAGCCAGACCTTGCTTCAAAAAGTAAAACAAGCCAGGTGTTGGTGGCTCACACCTCCAGTCCTAGGACACTGAGATCTAGAGGACTGGGGTTTACAGCTAGCTAGGTAGAAATGTTCTAGTTAACCAGCAAAAAGCCAGATTGGTGTCATGGCTCAAGAGGTACATTGCCAGCAGTGATCAAGCAAGCTGAGTGAGAACTCAAGGCTCTGAGTCTACGCCCCAGCACACACACACAAAATGTTTTACAAGGGCTGGGAAGGTGGCTCAGTGGTAGAGCGCTTGCCTTGCATGCCTGAGGCCCTGGGATCCATTCCTCAGCACCACATAAGCAAAAAAGAAAAAAGCCAGAAGTGGCACTGTGGCTCAAGTGGTAGAGCGCTAGCCTTGAGCTGAAGAGCTGAGGGACAGCGCCCAGGCCCAGAGTTCAGGCCCCACGACCGGACCAAAAAAAAAAAGTTTTACAAATTAATAATAACGAAACAACAAAAAAACAACTGTTCCTCAAAAGAGAATTTCCAAAGAGCTAAGGAACATATGAAAGATGCTCATGTACTATTTATACCTATCAGAGAAATAGGCAATAAAAACATCAGATGATATTTTCCTATCGACGAGAAAGGCTCAAATTAAAAAAAAACATTGCTATTGGCCAGGTTGCCCTGCAGGGGAATACCACTCATGCTAGCGGTAAATACATACATGTATGTATTTGGTATATAATTGGTAAAATCAGCTTGACAAGCTAACTGCCTGCGTGTTTTCTATGAAAAGCTTATCATATATCATATGTGTGCTCTCTAGCAGTTCTAGTCCCAGATGATAACCAATAGCAAAGAAGAGTGCTCTGGAAGATGAGAGCAACAATGTTCACAACAGAGCTATTAATAAAAGCCAGAGCATGGAAACAGCCCACCTGCTTCCAATGCAGTGGAATGGATAAGGAATATTGGTGCAGTCAGACAATGAAATACTACACAGAAATGAAAAATGAAAGAACTATAGCTTATACATCGGCTATGAAATGAAAAGTCATGTTGAACAAGAAAGTCTAGATACTGGTGAATTCTTATACATATCTTTGGGTAAATCAAGCTAAGCAGCTATAAGAGGTCAAGTTAGTGACAGTCTTGAGATCAGGCTAGTGAGTGTAAGTAACACACAGTGGGGGGATTTGTGTTAATTCTCTCTCTCTTGATCTCCTTCTGGAGTTAACACAGCTGTGTTCAGCTTATGAAAACTCACTGAAAGCCAGGCACTAGTAGTTCTAATACTGGTACACAAAAATAATTCACTGAAGATTATCTTTATTATGTAGGCCTTTTTATATGTGTAAATTATAGTTCAATAAAAAACACATTCATTATATAATGCCATAAGCTTTTAAACCATTAACATTTTCTAAAGATTAGAAATAGTACGTTCAATGGAGTTAAATAATATAAAGAAATATGCGGATGGGGAGAATATAAAGAATGTAATTAATGTGCCAGGCACTGATGGCTCACACCTGCAATCCTATCTACTAAGGGGGCTGAGACCTGAGGATCAAGGTTCGTAGCCAGCCTGGCTAGAAAACGTCCTTGAGACTCTTATCCCCAATAAACTACTAAAAAAAAACAACACAGAAGTGTGCTATGGCTTAAGCCTTGAGCAAAAGAAGCTCACAGACAGTCCCCAGGCCCAGAGTTCAAGCCCAAGAACTGACAAAATAAACAAATAAATAAAAATTTAAAAAAATGAATGTAATAACGTGTGCTGGCAAGATATACAACTCTAAAGGGAACAGCCAATCTTGTTTCTTTTTTATTTAATTAATTTTAATTGTTATTATAAAGGTGATGTACAAAGGGGTTACAGTTACCTAATCAGGAAATGAATACATCTCTTTTTGGACAATCTCATCCCTTTCCCAGTCCCATTTCTTACCTGTATGGTAAAACTTCCCTGAAAATCCCAGATTGAATGTGAAATTTGTGATTTGTGCTCGCAAAAGATTTTGAGTATCAAGCAGAGCCTGAAACAGAGAATTAAGAAAAGAAATATATATTTATATATGCATATATATATATATTTATCAGGTTGAGAATAGAATTGGGAAGTTTCAAAACAATAGCTCCTTCTGCATTCAGAAGATAAAACCACTCCTTTGTACATGAGAAAATCCAATGAGGAAAAGTAGTTTCTTTGTTAACTTCACAAACTGAGATAATTCTGAGCTCACATAATGCATAACATATATTTAGTCTTTCATTTGCAATAAATCAGCAAAAAGTATTGGTTAGAAAACAAATAGTTGGGAAAAGTTTAATTTGTGCACAACAAAGGCACATGTATCTAGTACGTAAAGCATTATCTCTGTTAGGACTTAGGGACATAGATTCCTGGCTCTCTCATTGTAAGTGAAGCTATGTAAGAACACTTGGAGAAAGAAGATTGTGATTTCTCAGATATACCTTTAGTCTTCCAAACACAAGACTTTTCAATCTTAAATATAAGATTCTCAAAAGATAATAGTTATTAAAAGAATATAGTATAATTGGGGCTGGGAAGGTGGCTCAGTGGTAGAGCGCTTGCCTTGCATGCCTGAGGCCCTGGGTTTGATTCCTCAGCACCACATAAGCAAAAA